CTGTGGCTAGGGTTATGCCCGGCGAGTTTTCCAAGTCTGGAGGAAGGAGTGAGTAGGAATATGACTTTCAGAGTTGGAATGTAAACCCAGCATGGGGCTAGTTGCCTGCGGTTTTTTGCGGTAGTATGGCAGCATGGGAATGCACGAGATGATTGTTGTGGTATGGATGCCTTGAGATGAGACCAAGGATTTGATTCTTGGGATATAGATAGGTCAGGTGCTAGCTGATGGTTTCAGTAAAATCGGGAGCGACAACTTTTGTTGTATCTAATGTATCCTGACTATGAGGATAATGCTTTTTGTATTTGCAAACAGTTTTCATGGTGATCTGACGGTTGGGGATTTGCAGACGAGGAGTATGGTAGTTAGTTTGTTTTGGATAGGGATTTGGTGTTATGAATGAACTTTCGGAATTATTGTTGTGCATCCTGCATGGGATTCTTGATATTAGATGTGGTTGTGGTTGGGGAAGTTCCCAAGGTCTCCATCTGAGATTCATAACCTCTTGGGGTATGCATGGTTTTTATTTGGGAGATCATCTGGCATTTTTTGTACATTCCAAGGGTCAGGATGCTATGTACCTGGTTGAGTCGGTTTGCGATATGGTTCGTTTGCAACGCTAGCTGGTGGTAGTTCGAACCCTAAGTAGGGAAGAACTCAATATTCTGATTGGAAGAACATCGGTAGGTTCAGTTTAACATATCGGAATAATGGTTCGTAGGGATATACGGTTCGGGTATGTGAGGCTTTGGTTCATGATTTGGTCAACACGGGGGTGCAGAGCAAGATTCCATCAGATGTATGTGTTTAGTAATACAAAGAGTCGTCTTCACAGAAAAAAGATTACAGGCCATGGAACTCGATGTAGCCAGTGGTTCCTTTCGAAAATGTCAAGGAATAGGTCAAGAGGTTTTTGGTCACTTAGGTTGGGTATCGATTGTTGAGAGATTTTTTCAGCTTGTTGTATAGATTAATATCTATAGCCTAGGATGGGTAATTGAGGATCAGTCAATCAGTTTCAAATTTTGTATGTTTACTCCTTCATGGGATTTGTTCAGTAGTGTGTTGGACCAGTGGAAAGGTTTCAATGAACTCTCGATCGTTAGACTTCTCGTCCTTCGCCAATAGTGAAAATTATTTGGAAGTTTCAGGATGTATTAGGTGAAGTGCAATAGATGTGTCAACCTATCGTCAAGTTCGGCTCGAGTTTGGAAGATGTCCTTGGTTATTGGAAATTTATAATTTGGGACAACGTTGTTAGTTTTTTGGGTATGAATTTGGATCTGGGCAGAATCCAATTTTTGCATCACGCATCAGCAGGGTTGGTAGCTGGACTAACTGACCAGGGTTTTGGTAGCATTTATGATGGCTCTGGAGGTTTTATTGAGCTATTTGGGTATTTGTTGTATCTGTTTTCAATCAAGTTGTGGGAACTTAGTATTCGGCCATTCATGAGAATGTTTTCTGTTAATGATTGAGGTTCATCATCTCGTTAAATCTTCTGGTACTTCAACCATTGGGTGAGGCTTTGGGTTCCCTTAATGGTGTGTATTGTGGTAAATTCATTAGAATTTGTCGTTCGGAACTTGGATGCAACATGAAAACTCTTAGATGGACCATCATTATGCTCATAGGAGCAATGGGATGATTTATGTTTCAAAGTTCAGTTGTAATCTTGGATGTGCAGTTGAATGGAATTGTCCTATTTAGCTCTATTCTAATTGATTCCGCATTAAGAATGGAGTAATTATCTTTGCTCTCGATTGCATGCGTGATGGAGTTTGTGAATGTGGTATGGAATTAGAGCCTCTTGGGTATCTGTTTATCAGTGGTTGGGATCAAATAATAAAGTGCAAGTTGGTATGGGTATTAAGGATTGTGAAGTTATCAGTTAGTGGGTCAGGGGTAAGCTTGAGTGTTGTAAGTGGATAGCTAAGCAGGGTTGTCGGAGCCGAGTAGGAGTGTGGCTTAGTTTGATATATGACCCGTTGCTTCTCATCGCGATGATGAAATCATGTGCAGGATTAGCATGACGAGTATTGGTCGAGGAGGTTTAAATCCGATCAAATTTGCATGTTTTGGTTAGTTTGGTTGATGTGAGCGGATACACAATGAACTGGAAATGAGAACTGATTTTAAAGACGAAATCTAATTTAAGTGCGGTGAATTGTAACATCTTGTTTCCTGTCATTTCTTATTTTAGGTTTGTGGGCCGGAAGTCGATGGTGTAAGGCTTTGGGCCTTAATGAGGCAAAGTTTAGTCATTATGGAAGGAGCTAATGATAGTTGAGATTAACCCTTGAATTATTTTTTGGGCCGAAGGGTAGAAAGAGAAAAGTCATAGGTTGGGTTCTTGCATGAAATATGGATTTTTGTTCGAGAAGTTTTTATTCCAAGATATCTAGATAATATTATGGGGTTCTTCAACACCTTTTCTGTGGATATAAAGAACATCAAAATCAGAGTTAGAATGAAGAAATTATGATTGTTCGAAGTTAGAAGGGTTATGGGTTGAGCCTAGTATGTTGGGCGTACTAGGCAAGGATGATCATGGGATCCAACCTAGTACGTTGGGCGTAAGAAATCAGGTGCCAAACCCTAATTTGAGGGTTTTGATCCCTATTTAAGCTCCTTAACTCCCCAAACCCTTTCTATTTTTAGCCTCCACCCCTTCAAGATCCTCCCTTAAAACCCTGACCCTAGCTTGAGCCTTGTGAGCAAAAAGAATGTGTTTTTAAGTGCTTTGGAGTGTTCTTGGTGCATCTTGGAGAAGAAGAGCTCATTGGAGAAGTTTTGGTTGCATTAGAGCTTATAGATCCATACCTTGTTCACCTTGATCCTTCTTCTAGTGGTATAAAGCTTGAATACTGATGATACATTTGTTAGATCTAGATAGTTTTGGGTGTTATGAGCTTTTGGTAATTTTAGTGCATAAAGTTTAGATCTTGAAAGTTTGTGACTTTGTTATGGATAAACTTGGAAACTTTATCCATCTAAACATCATTTTGATTCAGATTGGAAGGTTGGAGACTTAAACTTAATGGATTAAGTTGAGAAAGATGTACTTTTGGTACCTTTGAGACTTAAAGACTAGATCTTGGTTGTTTGAACCATTATAATGGATAAAGTTGGAAACTTTATCCATCATGGAGTTATTTTGAAGCATAAAAATGTAATCTTGGTACCTTATTCCCTTCCATACAAATATTAAAAATATGTACCATGTGTAAGTGTATTTGATATATAAAAATGTTAAAAGAACAACCCAATGCAACAATTACCCAATCCAAATCAGTATACATAAACTTGTAACATCCTAAAAATAGTGCTAAATTTTTTCATTATTCAATCACTCCAAAATACAATCAAATAGTTTCAAAACAACCATAGTATAAATATTGTCATCATTAGAGTAAAATCAAATGTCTATGCATAATACAATTGAGGGGAGTGTTGTGCGGTCACGTTAGGCCCTTCCCTTTTGAACCAGAAGTAAACCGTAAAACCGTAAACACAAAGGTTAGTGGGTTCCCCAAAATACCACTACCATACATATAATTTCCATGGCCTACCCTTATGGTCTTGTCCCTAGAATTCCATGGGCTACCCCCAAGGTCTTACAACTAAGTGTTATGGGCTACCCCCATGGTTTTTCCTTGGAATACCATGAGCAAACATCTAAGTGTCATGGGCTACCCCCATGGTCTTTCTTGCAATTGTCATGGGCTACCCCCATGGTCTTTCATACAAATGCCATGGGCTACCCCCAGGGTCTTTCATGCAAGTATCATAAAGACACCTAGCATAGAACACAATTCAGTAGGCAGGCATGCCTTTGACCCACAAATATAGTAAGAAGACTCACCTCTCAAACGATAACCAACTGCTACTGCTCTCACACCCAAACTTACATATGTTATACAACACCTATACAATCACACACGGTACATCCTTAGCCTTGCTCCAAAACTAGGAGTTTGACGAAAATTAAACTCAAGTCAAAAATCAACGGTCAAAGTTGACTTCAGTCGGTTGGCACATCGTGGCCATCCATGACAACCTCGTGGCCCACAAACAACAAAACAGATGAAGATTTCCCAGACACCACGTTGTGGCAACCTAAGTCCATGTTGTGGGCATTGGGTTCTTAACAGCTTAATGGGTTAAGCCTTTTCCTTTAGTCCTAAGAGCTCCAAAGCTCAGATCTTGTCCTTCCTATAGTCTAGATGGATAAAGTTTCCAACTTTATCCCTTAAGACCCTCCAAGAGATCAAGATCTCAAACCCTAGGTCCAACAAAGGAAAAACATGACATGGACTTAACAATTATCGATTAATCTCTAAAGCTCTTTGTCCATTCGCACCAGAAGAGTTTCTAACACCAAAACTAACATAAAAATTTGTGCTTTGCATAGATGCATGTCTTGAACTCATATTAGGTCTTAATAAGGATTTTGACCAAAAATATCATGCATGGCTAAAAATCCAACCAAACTTCAAATCTAAACCCTCAACCACTCCAAATGACCCATAGCTTCAAAAGTTGCAACCTTTATGGGATCTCAATATCCTAACTAACAAGAACAAGAGTATGGGGCGAAACTAAGGATCTAGCAACTTAAAAACATAACGGTGGAGTCTTGGACACTTACAGAGATCTAAAATTATGCTAAGATGAGAAATGGAAACTTGCTTGTTGGATCTTGTCTCACTTCTTCTTCTTTCTTCCTTGAAGATCTCCAAAAGCACCAAAATGAGCTTTAACAATGGAGGAAAGAGATTAGGTTTACTTCAGAGCTTAGGAGGGTGATGGAGGTTGAGGATAAACAAACCCTACCTTCCGTATTCCTCTAAATAAGGCTCAAACCCCGTGGATTAGGGTTTGGCCAAAAATATTCGCCAGGTCGTGGACACCTAGCGCCACAATGTGGCACTCATTTAAGATTCGTGGGTCCAAATCATTTTTCCACGTCGTGGTGATGTCACCACCATGTCGTGGCCATCCAAATTTTCAAACTTAAACAATTAAAATTCATACCTTGGGATTCGGATGTTACAAAACTAACAAAGGATTTATGTTTTTTGTTTGGATTTATCTTCAGTGCAAAGCTAGCATCTTCATTTCATCACCACACAAGACTGAAGATCAAAAGGAACCTATAGGAAAATTCAAAATCAAAACAATGAACAATTGAATCAAAAGGGTATTAATGTAAATTACCTGATTAAAAAACATTATTGTTAATCTTTCTTTCTTATTCCATCTGCTAATTCCCCTGCTCTATAAGTCTTGATCTTATACTACTTGTTCACTTCACACTTTCCTTCAGCTTAGACCAGTTTACTTTCTGAACATATTTTGAGGGTATACGCATGTGTGCACCAGATCTGAATGAACATTATAAATAGTTAATTCCATGGTTTATTGAATGAATCTTAATGATTATAAGTTTTAAAAAAAATGTTACTTATCTGGTTATGATTCAAAACCATCATCACAACATAATTAGCAAGTTGATTACTGTTCAGAGCTAAATTAAGCTCTTGTTGTACTAATTTTTGCATATCCACACACGCCTCCAGCATCCTCTGCATTTCATTCATTCTTTCTTCAAGTGCATCCATATCAACTCTTAACCCATTGTTTATCTCCCTTTCCTCCTCTGTTTAGGGGATGACAACATCTTCTTTTTGTGATTCAAATTCTTGATTTTGTCAATTCACATATGATTCCATCAGCACCTGAGCCAGTCGTGCACCAAAATCAATTTGAAGAAGATTAGAAATTATTCTCCTACAATCGCGAATGGTTTTCTGAATTAGATTGATATTTTAAATATTATGGAATTCGACTGTGATTGGATCCATCTATTTGCTTGTTTGTAAGTTGCATGAATTCAAATCTGTTGTGGTTATTATCATCATCATCAGATCAATAGAATGTGTTACTCCTACTTTCTACGGTTTCAATCTACTCTTGAGAATCGCTTCTTACTGGTGAGTTGACATCTATACCCTTGTCTGAGTTTGTACGAGTTAAATGATGCCATTAACTCTGGTGATCTTCTTTTGATTCATCACAATCTTCATCTGCCTGTGAAATTTCTTGCCAATTTAAACTATATGTACTTGTCTGTAAAGAAATTAAATGCGCTACTTCATCATCTACTTGAGAACCTTGTGGAAATTCACTTTAGCGTGATGAGTGATTTGATTTGTTTCTTCCATTGAATCATCTATTTCTTCATATCGCATGATAAATAATCGAGTCTAGATCAATTCCTTTATCATGAAGACTTACGCCTTGTTCCTGAGTTTTTTTTGTAAATTCATATTAAAGGAAAGGGAAGGAAATTTTTGACATAAAGAAAGGAAGGTGAAGGAAAATATCCATTATTCCATATTCCCTGGTTTGAATGAAATGAAAGGAAAATTTTAAGTTTTTGTGTTCCCGAATTTAGAGGAAAAAGAAAATAAAACTTAAAATTTTCCTTCCCCTCACTTTCTTCCCAAATCCGCCCAATTTGGAAGGAAAATATGTCTCCAAAATCCTTTCCCTCCCCTCACTTTCCTTCCATTAATGAAACTCGGGAGCATGATTTTCCATCGACACCCCTCACTTTCCTTTTGTATCCTCTCATTTCTCTCCTTAAGTAGAACTCCGGAACAAGACGAGTAACAATCCTTTCCTTAGGAATCATCCAAAGCTAAACATTCACTTTTGTAGGAATTAAATTATTCCATCTGGTAGACTACCAGGAGCATTTTCTAGAAAAAAATCCAATAAAGTTCTATAGAAAAAAAAATCCAATAAAGTGTTCTCATAGAAGAAACTGAGAAACATCCAACAAACTCAAAGTCCCAAATGTAAAGATCTGGAGCATCCAAGAAAACAACCTCGTCAAGCTTGGAACACAACTGGTGGAATTGGGAAGTTGTGATCCCCACTCTTGGTTCCCTTCCTCTTTATGAGTTGAAACTAAAGCAACGGTCCTTATTCTTAGCAACTCAGTATTAAGGACTAAGATATGGTTTATATTTTTTATATATTTATAGATATTGAGGTGTAAATATTTAGTCAACTCCAGCTGTATTCTCCCTGTATCATTCCTAGTCTATAGCTGTAACTTTGGCTATATACAGCCACTCGGTTGTACATGTTAGAATGAGAAAATACAATGAAATTATTATACATCGATATGGTATCAGAGCATCAATAACTCTCACGAGTTCTTTGATCCGCCTCAACTCAAGCTGTCTCCTCTCTTACTTACATCTAGGGCTATTCAATGGCCAAAAACACCCAAATCACAGCCACCACCCATCTGACCACAAAGCTCACAGCAACAAACTACCTGGTATGGAGAAAACAGGTTGAATCGACCCTGATCAGCCTCGAACTTGAAGACTTCATCATCAGTCCCTCCACCAAACCTGCAAAAGAACTCAATGACAAGGATGGCAAGCCCATCCCTAACCCAGAATACCTTCCGTGGTACCGCAAAGACCAAATGATTTTCAGTGCAATCTTAGGTAGTTGCTCTGACCCAATTCAACCTCTAATTTCCTCTGCCTCCACAGCCCGTGAAGCATGGGAACGACTTCACTCAAGCTTTGCCTCCTCATCCAGATCTCGTATCATCTCCTTAAAGTCCAAGCTAGCGAAAAACCTTAAGGGCAGTTGCTCCATCACAGAGTTCCTTCACGAGATGCGTGCAATTGCCGATAACCTAGCCCTAGCACAAAGTCCTGTTTCAGAAGAGGACCTCATGATTCACATCCTATCTCAATTAGGCGACGACTACAACACTATTGTTGCAGTTATCAAGGTGAGAGATAACCTAGTATCTTATTCTGAACTCTTTGATAAACTCATTGATTATGAACAAGCTCTTAAGGAAACGACATTACCACCTGAATCTATCCCCACCACAGTCAACTACACCAATCGGCAACATGGGTCAAATCTCCGTAACCCAAATTCATTTTCCAGGAACAATCGGTCCTACAATACCAGGTCACAACGAGGGGGGCCATGCTTCTAACTGGTACAGTCATAATTCTCAAGGAAACCGCAACACCAGAAACACTGAGTTTTGTCAGTATTGTAATATACCTGGACATCTCACCCGTGACTGTCGCAAATTAGCTAGGTTTCTGAGAGACAACAACGTTAACATAGACAAAACCACAAACCCAGTAGCCAATGTTACTACTTCAGCTCCAACATCTCCTTCTTGGCTACTTGATACAGGAGCCTCCAACCATGTTACCTCCGATCGCCAAACACTTCATAGTGTTTCAGAATATAGCGGTCCTGATGAAGTCATCCTTGGTGATGATACAGGTTTAACAATTTCTAACATTGGCAACACTTACATCAAGACACCTCACAGAAACTTACTATTGTCCAAAGTCTAACATGTTCCACGCTTACACAAAAACCTTGTTTCTGTTTCTCAATTATGTAACACTAATCTTGTTTCGGTGGAATTCTTTCCATCTCATTTTTTGTGAAGGATCTGTGCACGGGGGCGCGTCTCATGCGAGGAGAGATAACTGAAGGCATCTACCACACCAGCTTATCACCTACAGTTCAAATCAACACCACCTTCAAGAATTCTCCATTGAGCCTTCATCACAAACTTGGCCATCCATCAGTCCGTGTTTGTAAGTCTATTATTTCTCAACTACATTTAAGTTCAAATTTCAATGTTCATTGTCCTTCTTGTTCGATTAATAAAAGTCACAAGTTTTGGTTCCAATTCCTTTGTTGCAAACCATCCACTTCAACTTCTTTACACTGATGTATGGGGTCCTATTCAAACATCCATAGATAACTTCCGTTATTATGTTATCTTTGTTGACTACTTTACAAAGTACACATGGATATATCCCATCAAGCACAAAAAACGAGGTAGCCAAGGTATTCCCAACCTTCAAACTACTCGTTGAAAAATACTTTCAACATCCAATTGTGTCAATATTTAGTGATAATGGTGGGGAATATCTAGGCCTCCTTCCATTCCTACAAGCTCATGGCATCTCCCACTACACTACCCTGCCCCACACACCTGAACAGAATGGAATTGCAGAACGACGCCACAAACATATTGTGGAAACTGGTCTAGCCCTACTACACTATGCCAACCTACCCCTCACATATTGGTCCCATGTATTTGAAACTGCAGTTTACCTCATCAACAGACTTCCAACCCCCCTACTTGATCACAAATCCCCTTATGAGTGCCTATTCAAACAGCCACCAAATTATTCCAAACTCAAACCATTTGGATGTTTGTATCACCCATGGCTACGCCCCTATACCAACTCAAAACTCCAACCAAAATCAGCACCATGTCTATTTCTTAGCTACTCAAATTCCAAATCCGCCTACAAATGTTATGACCTCGAAACCAAACGGCTATATCACTCCCTCCATGTTGAGTTTATACCCGATCTTTTTCCCCTCCAGTCGCGTACCCCCTGATACACCTCTACCTACACCAGATGTCTTTCTTACCTCAACCAAAACAACCAAAGCCACACCCACTTCTAACATCCTAACCTCCTCACCCTCAAATATGCCACTTGTCCCAATAATAATAGAAGAAGCAAATTCCCATCCCCCCATCTCCACCCATACCGACCACCTCTCATGACACCCCGCCTACCACTCCCACTGCTGCCCCTCCTATCTCTGTGACATCTTCGACTGCATCCTCACCCAGTACTCCTTCCTCATCACCTCCCTCACCTCAACCACAACCACAACCACCCCTACCTGCTACCCGTCCCCGCAAACAAAATCCTAAATACTATAACCCATCATTTATAAACACTGCCACCCTTCACCCAATACCCCCAACTCATGAACCCAACACACATACACAAGCTCTAAAAGACCCAAACTGGCATCATGCCATGGACCAAGAGTTTAATGCATTAATCGCTAATGGAACCTGGGAACTAGTTCCAAAATCCTCTCACACTCCAATTGGCTGCAAATGGATATTTCGTATCAAAAGAAACCATGACGGAACCATTGCAAAATACAATCCAGACTAGTCGCCAAAGGGTTCCTCTAACAGTATGGCAAAAATTACTTTGATACCTTCAGCCCAGTAACCAAACCAGTCATTATTCGAACAGTTCTATCCATTGCTCTCTCTCACAGTTAGGTTATTCGCCAACTAGATGTCAACAATGCATTTCTCCATGGCACCCTTCATGAAGAAGTATTCATGTCTCAACCACCTAGATTCGCTCATCCCT